CCAAACGAAGCGTGCAACGCTACTTGCACCGGTCTGTGGGGGCTCAAGGTAGTGTCCAGGACGACCTCACAGCTCTTAACAGTTTTCCCAAGCCCCCCCGAAAACACAAAGTGGTCCAGGGAGGACGGGGGGCCCTCACCAAAGTGAGTGTGGCCCTCAGCCACCACAGGCAGCCCAACCAACTTCTCGGCGAACTTCGAACTGGCTAAAGTGCCTGGAACCATGTTGAAATCCCCTCCAATACAGAACGGAAGAGAAAGGGAAGACATACGTTCCCCTATACTGGCCAGGAGATCGACATTGCGCTCAGACAACCCTTCAGAGTGATGGAGGTAAACAGAGCAGAGAGCGAAACGATCACCTCGCGGGAGGTGCACTATGCCAGCAGTCGCTCTGCCAACAGCAACCACCGCCCCCCCAGGGGGCTCATGAAGGCCGAGAAAGTCTCTGACAAGGATGCAAGTGCCAGCCGACGTGGAACCAGCGGCGGTCCCGTGGGCCGCAGTAAAGATGCCTTTCCACCCTTGGCGAGCACACCACGCCGAGGCTTGGGAGAGGTCTTCATCCTCACGCAACCTGTGCTCCTGGCATAAGATGATGTGCGCAGGAGTCTTGGCCATGAGCTCCTTCATGGTCGACCATCGGTTGCAATTAACCGTGTGGATGCAAATCTCAAGACTGTCCAGAAGGGCCGAGCCGTGACCAACAGAGGCCTCAGGGGAGCCCGAGGCGACGAAACTCACCGAAGGGTCCGAGGGGCCGCTGAAAAACTCGACAGGACTGCTCGGCTGCAAATCGACGAGCACAGGATATTCCTCACACGGGTTGGCAAACCCGAAAAAATGCGCCTCGCACGAGGCAGCACTGTGAACAGCACGCGCCAGGCTGGCAAAACCTGAGGCAAGCACCCGCTTGGCCCTCCAAAGGGTGTGCTTGACCGCTCCACTGAGCGACGAGTGCGATCTCTTAAAGGCAGACGGTCGCTTCACGGGGGGAGGGGTCCAGCGGGAACGCCGAAAGGCAAAAGAGCTGCGACTGCACACCGAGGCCGAGCCAGAAGTGGCCCTGGCGGCACAAAGCTCACCAGGCCCGAAAACGGGCGCCCCCAGAGGCTGGAGGAGCGTCCTGAACCGAGATTCCAAGCTGCTTCGAGCAAAAAGTGGGTACTGCTCGTGGGACCCTCCAGTTTCAACGCACGATTCCTGGAGGTACCCACGGCAAGACGGCAAACCCAGACAACCCCAGATACACTCCAGGGATCCAGGATGCAGTGCAAGAGGACCTGAGACCTCAGGCTCCTCGACTCCGAAATAAAAAGCCAGCCCTACTCCTCCAGCAGCAGGCTGATGACACCCACGAGGGAGAGCGTCGACAGCAGCTCCAGCGGGTGCGGGCTCTGCTTGCCAGCCGTGGCAACTCTCGTCTCCGCCCCAAGGTGCAAGGCCGAGGCCCAGAGCATTAAAGTCCCCTGCCGAGGGGAACGGAGAGAACATGTGCCAGGCTGGGCAAGTGAGCATGCCGCTGGATTGAACGTGTTCACGATGTAGGCCCCCCTGCTGATGCTCACGCGGCAGCAGGGGGGGGGTCTTGTTCAGGCTGCCCATGCTGAATGATCTTGGCGGCCCGCTGACGTAGAGCTGCAGACGCGGTAGCTTCAGCATCAACCTCTGGAAGCTGCTCTGCTGCTGCCTCTGGACCAGTGGCTGCGACGTCTGCGGCAGACTCAGCATCTCCGCCTCCATCATCGCCAGGAGCAGCACCGTCGTCAGTCTTCCTCTTCTTGGCCAGCCGTCCGAGATGCTCCTTGTGTGCCTCCTGGATCTTCTTGGCAGTCTCGGAGGCCTGCGCGAACAGCCGCTGTGCCAGCTTTTGGATGCCTTCTCGCAGCTGGTTGCCCCTCTTCTCGAGCTCCTCCTTGTCGGCCTCCGAGAGCTCGAAATCCTCGACGCCTCCAAGCAGCTCCGAGGGGTCAATGACCAGCTTGTCCGTGAAGGTCCCGTCCATGATTGACGACAGTGAGCAAGGCACGACCTTGTCCTCTGGCACCTTCTGCAAGTCGGCCGCCGACGTCTGAGCATGAAGTGCAGCCACCAGTCGACGATGCTCACTGTCGGCCTGCTCACACTCCTCAGTGAACTTGGTGACCAAAGCACGCTGCTCCACCATCTGCACCGACCACTCCTCGAACCTCTGAACCGCGCCCTGCAACTTCCTCTCGAGGCCTCGCAGCTTGCTGTGGGCCATGGAAACCTGGTGCTGCAGGGTGGGCTCCTTGGCCACAGGTGGAGGCTTGGCCAGCTCACGATGTTTAGCCGCTCCCATAGCATCTCCAGCCTTAGCCAGCAGCTCCGCCAAAGACGCGTGCTCTTCACGAGAAAGAGGTGCCTCTGGCTTGGTTGGACCTCCTGGCGACTTGCCACCCTTGCCGCCACCATGGTCGCCTGGCGCGAAGGAGCCTGGTGGCCCACGAGCAGCAGCAAAGGGGGAGAACGGCAGGTTGCTGTGGAAGCCAGCCGACCAGACTCCCCCAGGCGTGCCGAAGGAAGTGGGCGTGTATGGCTGGAACGGGGTCCACTGAGAGCCACAATGCTTGCAGCGCGACCAGCGCATCTCGTTCTTCCTGCAGCCGCACGCCGAGCATGTCCAGAGGGCGGGAGGACCATCAGGCTGAACCCCTGGAGCCCGAGCAGCCCAAGGAGGACGAGGCGTGCCCCCACTGTCGAACAGCGCGATCTCGTGCTCGAGGGCGGCCGCCGAGGGGATGCTCTTGCCGCCCTTGCCGCCGCCCTTGTCATACTGACCACCAGGGCCGCGCTTGCCGAAGCCGCCCTTACCCATGGCGGCGAAATGTTTATGAACTGTGAGGGTACGGCCCTCTCCGAAGCTGATTGACTCGCAGGCACGAAGTGCCGTTTTGAATCCTGCACCTGCAACGCTCAATGGCTTGAGCGCAAAACGGCTGGAGGAGGAGGAGGAGGAGGAGGAGGAGGAGGAGGAGGAGGAGGAGGAGGAGGAGGAGAGGAAGAGGGAGCAGGAAGCGGGAAGGGGGAGAAGGGAGGAGGAAAGAGGAACAGCAATAGGAGGAGAGGAGAGGAGGAGGAGGAGGAGTAGGAGGAGGCAGGAGAAGGAGGGAGGAGGAGGAAGGAAAAGGAGGAGGAGGGAGGGGAGGGGAGGGGGAGGAGGAGGATGGGGGGAGGAGCGAGGGGAAGAGGAGGAGGAGAGGAGGAGGAGGAGGAGGAGGAGGAGGAGGGAGGAGGAGGAGGAGGAGCATGAGGAGGACGAGGGAGGGACGAGGAGGAGGAGGAGGAGGAGGAGGAGGAGGAGGAAAAGGAGGAGGAGGAGGAGGAAGAGGAGGAGGGAGCTATAGCCAGGGTCAGCGCCGACTTGGGTCAGCCAGTACCGTGTCCCGAGCTCGGGCTGGCCACGAGGCAGCTTCTCTAAGACCGGGTCAGGCGAGCTGGCAGGGAGGTGTGTGTGTGTGTGTGTGTGTGTGTCGGCGCCGCGTGGCTCCGGTCAGAGGGGATCCCAGGCGTCCACCATCTCGATGCTTGTCGAGACCCATACCTCCAATGTGTAAAAACAGGACAGAAACTTCTCTCGATTCTCGGACTCATCGGGCCCAAGGACCGTCAGAGAACGACTGGGGAGGAACATCGGACGGCTGGGACACGAGCCCCCCAGACCTCTCGACCCCTTCCCCAAAGCTCGCTGCTCATGCCGAGTCGCTCTTGACGGTCCCGTGGCCCGCAACCGGCCTCCGACCGCCCAGCCTTCTGACACATCGGCCGCCTCGATTTTTCTCCGAGCCGCCAGGTGTTTGGGATGGGGAGGGGGTTGGCCGACCCCCGCTGGCGCTGCCCCCCATCGGACTTCGGCGGGGGCGGCGGCCATCGGAGGCCCCCGAGGCGGCGGCGGCAGCCTTCGGCGGCCCCTTCGGGGGGGAGGGGACGTGCTGGCCCCCGGAGGAGGAGGAGGAGGAGGAGGAGGAGGAGGAGGAGGAGGAGGAGGAGGAGGAGGAGGAGGAGGAGGAGGAGGAGGAGGAGATCAGGGAGGAGGAGAGGAGGAGGAAGGAGGAGGAGGAGGAGGAGGAGGCGGAGGAGGAGGCGGAGGAGGAGGAGGAGGAGGAGGGAGGAGGAGGTAGGAGGAAGAGGAGGAGGAGGAGGAGGAGGAGGGAGGAGGAGGAGGAGGAGGAGGAGGAGAAGGAGGAGGAGGAGGAAAGAGGAGGAAGGAGAAAGAGGAGGAGGAGGAGAGGAGGAGGAGGAGGAGGGAGGAGGAGGGAGGAGGAGGAGGAGGAGGAGGAGGAGGAGGAGGAGGAGGAGGAGGAGGAGGAGGAGGAGGAGGAGGAGGAGGCGGAGGGAGAGGGAGGAGGAGAGGGAGGAGGAGAGGGAGGAGGAGAGGGAGGGGGAGGAAGAGGAGGAGGAGGAGGAGGAGGAGGAGGACGGAGGAGGAGGAGGAGGAGGAGGAGGAGGAAGGAGGCAGGAGGATGAGGGAGGAGGAGGAGGAGAAGGAGGAGGAGGAGGAGGAAGGAGGAAAAAGGAGGGAGGGGAAGAGGAGGAGGGAGAAAAGAGGAGGGGCTGGAGGGATGATAAACGAGGGAGGAGGGGGCGGATAGGAGGATGGAAAATGAGGATGATGATGATGAGGAGGAGGAGGAGAAGGAGGGGGAGGAGAAGGGATGATGATGATGATGATGATGATGATGATGATGATGCTGATGATGATGATGATGAGTGAGGAGGAGGAGGAGGAGGAGGGAGGAGGAGGAGAAGAGGATGAGAAAGAGGAGGAGGGGACGGAGGAGGAGGAGGAGGAGGGAGGAGGAGGAGGAGGAGGAGTGGGAGGAGGAGGAGGAGGAGGAGGAGGAGGAGGAGGAGGAGGAGGAGGAGGGGGAGGAGGCGGAGGAGGAGGAGGAGGAGGAGGAGGAGGAGGAGGCGGAGGAGGAGAGGGAGGGGGAGGAGGAGGAGGAGGCGGAGGAGGAGGAGGAGGAGGAGGAGGAGGACCTGGACGCGCTGCTCTCCTGCGTCATCTTGGACAGCTGCTCGCCCAGCCTGCCGACCTGCGCCCTCGAGGCCTCGAGCTCCGTCTCCAGCAGCTGCGCGCGCTGCCGCTCCTTCTGCAGCTCCGCCCCGCCGCCCAACGAGCCCCTGTCGGCGGCGAAAGCGGGCCCGCCGCAGGCCCGCGCCGTGACGACGCTGGGTGCTGGAATTTCTCCGATGGCATTGCCCCCAGAATTCTCCGACGCTGTTGATCGTTATTGTTGCTATTGTTGTTTGTAGTTGTAATCGTAGTTGTCGTTGTCGATATTGTTGTGGTTGTCGCTGTTGTTGCTGCTGCTGTTGTTGTTGTTGCTGCTGCTGTTGTTATTCTTGTGGTTGAACCTTCATTACGGAAAACATGCTATTATTGATTCCCTTCCAGGACGCATGGCATTTTTAAATTGGAACTCACTTCCCGGGACTCGCACCCTGCTTTATTATCAGGGAACTTCTTTGGTCATGGAATTGGGCCCATGGCCCCCGAATTACAAGAACAACGGCTCCGCCTTATACGTCCTCACAACGTATTGCCAAATCGCGCTCTCGCGCGGGACGTCCTCACAATCTATGCAGAAATCGCCCTCTTGCGTGGAGCTCGTGGCAACTTCTTCGGACGCCGCGCCCCCGACACTCAGGGACCACGCTTTGCCTGTGGACTTCTTGACGGTTTATTTGGGAATTGCGCTATCGCTCGAGACTTCCTCGCGATGCATGCAAGACGCGCGCTTCAGCAACCCACTTTCTCGACCTGGCCGCCAGGGCCCGCCTTCCCGACCCGCCCGTTAGGGTCTACCCGCCCGATCTGCCCGTCCACGTGTTTTCTGCTCCCAACCCCCCTTCCTGCTACTGTCTCTCTCGTGTTCCATCCTCCTCCCTCCCCTTTCCATTGCTTGCATCCGTCCTCTCTTCCCCTGCCGTAGGGCTGGATGCAATACACAATGATGGTAAGAGCGATGTACCCCCCAAAGGGGTAATATCGAACACGAAAAAAGTGGGTATCGAGGGTTTGGGATATATGTGTGAATGGCACGCACGCAGATAAGAGGAATTACTATTCACAGGTTGGTTGTTGTTGCTGCTTTTGTTGCAGTGGTTGTTGTTATTGGTGCTGCTGTTTTTTTTGTGCTGGTTTTTGTGATTGTTGTTGTTGTTGTGGCTGTTCCAGTTGTTGTTGTTGTTGTTGTTGTTGTCGTTGTCGTTGTTGTTGTGGTTGTGGTTGTGGTTGTGGTTGTGGTTGTGGTTGTGGTTGTGGTTGTTGTTGTTGTTGTTGTTGTTGTTGTTGTTGTTGTTGTTATGATAATTGTTGTTGCTGCTGTTGCTGTGGTGGTGGTTGGGTTTCACTTCAAAATAGTAAGTATTGTTGATCCCCCTGCCCGACAATCGCTATATTCTTCAACTAAAATGCGTCTCCCAAGGTTCTCACCTTGTTTTTAACACGCGACAGCGATGTGCCAAGCAACTACTCTCCTGGCACTCGGTTTATAACAGCAGCGGCTCTCACCTGATACTTCCTCACAATTTATTGCCAAATCGCGCTCTCGCGCTGGACGTCCTCACACATTATTAAGAACCGCGCTTTCGCATGGGACCCTTTGGCAATTGATTCGGACGCCGCGCCCGCGACACTTAGGAACCACGCTCTCCCTGTGGATTTCCTCACGATTTATCTGAGAATTGTGCTGTCGCTCGAGACTCCTCGCGAGTCATGCAGGACGCACGCTTCAACAACCCGCCTGCTCGACCTGGCCGCCTGGGCCCGCTTTCTTGATCCGCCCGTTAGGGCCAACCCGCCCGATCTGCCAGTCTGGTTCTGCCAAGTGCTTTATGCTCCTAGCCCCGCTTCTGCTACTCCCTCTCTCTCTCGTGTTCCATCCTCCTCCCTCCCCTTTGCTCCCTCCTCCTCCCTCTGCCTTGTCCCTTCCCCCCATCCGTCCTCTCTTCCCCTGCCTTGTGGGGCTGCTCGACATGCAACTTGCGAGTAAGAAAAATATGCCCCGAGGGGGGTACGATCGAAGACGAGGAGGACGGGCATCGAGGGTTTAGGATATACGAGATGGTTGTAAACAAGTCCTGGTATCCAGGGTCCCAAGTGTGAGGGTCCCAAACAACGGACCCGCGCACCAGGGTCTGCGTCTGAAAATGTCTGTTGTCGTTGATGCTGCTGTTGTTGCAATAACTTTTGCGTTCTCATTCTTAACAAGATAAATGCTGTTGCCCCCCCTCCACGATAACCGTTGCGTTTTTCACTTAAACTGCTTCTCCCGGGGCCCGCACCCTGTTTTTGTACAACAAGAACACTGGGTGTGACGCCCCCGAACTACATCAACAACGGCTCCCGCCTAATACTTCCTCACAAATTATTCCCAAATCGAGCTCTCGCGCGGGACTCCCTCACAACGTATGCAGGAATCGCGCTCTCGCGTGGGACTTCCTCAGAATTTATCCAAACGCCGCGCCCTTGACACTTAGGAACCACGCTCTCCCAGTGGACTTCAAAACGATTTATTTGGACCTCGCGCTGTCGCTCCAACATTCCTCGCGATTCATGCGGGACGCGCGTTTAAGCAACCCACCTGCTCGACCTGGCCGCCTGAGCCCGCCTTCCCGATCCGCCCCATAGGGTCTGCTCGCCCCATCTGCCCTTCTGGTTCTGCCAAGTGCTTTCTGCTCCTGGCCCCCCTCCTGCTACTCTCTCTCTCGTGTTCCATTCTCCTCCCTCTCACTTGTCCATTCCTTCCATTCGTCCTCTCTTCCCCTGCCGCAAGGGCTGCTCGAAATGCACGTTGCAGGTAAGAACGATATACCCTCACGGGCGAACGATCGAAAACGAAGAGGGCGGGTATCGAGGGCTTGGAAAATACGTGACCAATCGCACGCGAGGAGATAAAACCATTCTTAGAATGACTGTTTTTGTTGCTATCAATGTTGCTGTTGCACCTGTTGTTGTTGTCGTCGTCGTTGTTGTTGTTGCTGTTGTTGTGGTTGTGGTTGTGGTTGTTGTTGTTGTTGTTGTTGTTGTTGTTGTTGTTGTTGTTAATGTTGCAATGGTTGTTGTGTTGCTGCTGATGTTGTTGTGGTTGCAGCTACAGTTGTTGCTGCTGTTGTTACTGTTGTTGTTATTGCTGTTTTTCTTGTTGCTAGTGTTGTTGCTGTTGCTGCAGTTGTTGTTGTGGTTGTTTGGTTGTTGTGATGTTGCAATGGTTGTTGTTGTTGCTGACGTTCGTGTTCTTGTTGTTGTTGCAGTGGCTTTAGTTGGTGCAGTGCAGTTGTTGATGCTGCTGTTATGGTTGCTGCTGTGTTGTTGGTGTTGCTGCTTTTGTTGCAGTGGTTGTTGTTGTTGCTGCTGTTTTTTGATAATGTTGTTGTTGTGCTGTTTCGGTGGTTGTCGTTACTCTTGTTGCTGACATTTGTGTTCTTGTTGATCTTACTATTGTTGTTGTTGCAGTGGCTATTTATTGTTGTTGCTTTTGTTCTGGTTGTTGCTGCTGTTGTTGTTGTTGTTGCTGCTGCTGTTGTTGTGTTTGTTGTTGTTTTGTTGTTGATGTGCTGTTGCCATGGTTGTTGTTGTTGTTGTTGCTGACGTTCGTGTTATTGTTGTTGCAGTGGCTGTTGTTGTTGCAGTGCAGTTGCTAATGCTTCTGTTGTTGTTTTTGTTGCTGCTGTGTTTTTGTGGTTGCTGCTTTTGTTGCAATGGTCGTTGTTGTTATTGTTATTTCTTAAAGTTGTTATTGAGGTTGTACACTTTCAATTGTTGTCTTTATTATTGTTGCTGACGTCCGTGCTCTAACTGATAGAAGTATTATTGTTGTTTTGGTTGTTGTTGTTGTTGTTGTTGTTGCAGTGACAGTTGTTGTTTCTGTTGTTGCAGTGCAATTCTTGTTGCTGCTGTTGTTGTTGCTGCTGTTTTTCGGCGGTGGACAAACCTCCCTTTAGTAAACCTCCCCTTAGTAAAAACAGCCTAGGACCGGCACCGACGGACGTGGACCCGCAAAAATGACAGCCGCGAAGCCCTCTCGCGAACCGAAAACGGCCAATTCCTTAATCGACGTGTCAGGGTAGGAGGTCCATCAACCCTCCGAGTTTTCTTGTTGTTGCTGCAATTATTCTTGTAATAGTTGTTGTTGGTGCTGCCGTTTTTTGTTGTTGTTGTTGCTGCTGTTGTTGTTGTTGTTGTTGTTGTTGTTGTTGTTGTTGTTGTTGTTGTTGTCAGTCCGGGGGTCTTTCCTCGATCTCGGCCTCTGGGACCCGTGCACCGAACAGCTCGAAAGCGGATTCTCGGAAGCGGAGCGGGGAGGGCGAGCTGCCCCCGGGGAACGGGCCGAGCCCTCGCGTGGCCGCGCACCGAACAGCTGACGCCGTCGGATGCCCGGGTCTTGCTGACACGGCGCCGAGGGGGACGAGCACTGACACAAACATGAAAACTCGGACCTCTCAGTTTCGATGTTTATGTCATTGCTCGCCCCCCTGGGCGCAGGCCGTTCCAGCCCGGGAGCGATCCCAGCTTTCCAGCCTCGGCCGCGCGGGCGAGGTGGTCCTGCGCAAGAGATGTCTTCCCATGGAGCACGGCCCCATCATGTGTTCGCACGCCTCAACCAGCACAAAACAAGAATGGTCCTTGGTGAGTTTAGTTTGCCGGACGTTGCGCGCCATGCGACAGCAGCGGCCTGCGTGTCTGAGTTTTGCCCCCAAAATCCCCCCGAAAGCCGCCCACCACCGGTCACTCCGGCAAATGGTCACCCTTACTTTTTTTTACGTCGCAGCGCGGCAGAATCAGTCCGCACGCGCGTTCAGCAGGCTGGGAGACGGCATTCACCATCCTTACACGTAAGCCGAAGATTGCGCAGAGCGTTCGATGTCAGCCGATTCCCGTGGAACTGGCGGCGTTTCGCCTCGAACGCCCGCGCTGCTATCGCCGCCGCGTCCGCGCGGCGCGAATCTGCCGTGGAGGGGCCAGGGGGCGGCCTCCTCACAAGGCAGGATACTCCTCGGAACCGGCGGCAGGCCCCTGGAAGACCCCTCTCACGGCATCGTCTTTGAGGAAGGGGTGGCCCAGAGCTGCTTGCTTGGTTTGGGCTCTGGAATGATGGATGTAGAAGTGGTGATCTGTCTCTTTTGCTTGCTGTTGCTTGCTTGTTTTCTTCCAGCGTCCCGTTCCCTTGAGCGGCCCCGGCCCGCTTCCTCCTCCTCTTCGGCCGTCGCTTCGTCGTCTCCTTCCCCCCTCCTGCATGGTGGCACAATTCGCTTAACGGCAGCCCCGTGTCGCTTCCTCGACAGCGCAGTGGCTCTGCCCAGCCGCCGACGCAAAAATTGCTTGCTTGCTTCCTCTGTTGACCGACCGCCGGGTGCGGACGGCGAGGGCGCGGGCACCTTGAAGGGCGTGCAGCAGCACCTCAATTAGTGCCCCCCCCTCCCACAGGAGGCCAAAATTCGTCCAACACCTAAGTCGAATAAGTGATTTTGGCTGTCTCGCCGAGGCCATCTTGGACGCTCCAACCGTCCAGGTCCAGGTCCAAGTCCAGGGGGAGGGAAGCGGGGAAGGGGCCTTACCTGGAGGGGAAGAGGGGGGTTGTCTTAAGTCTGGCCTGTCCCTCTCCAGGGCACCAGCACGGCACGCAGAGTAGCAAAGGCGCCTGGCTTTTCTCTGCACCGCTCGCGCGGACGCCCCGCGGGCCCTTCAAGGGGCCCCCGGACGTCCAAGGGAACGCCTCGGGAGGCGCGGAGCGCCAAGACACGGCACCACGGGCGGCACCAGGGCGGCACCACGGCAAAGGGGAGTTCCCGGGCTGCCGTCCGCGCTTCTTCGGACGCCCGGCAGGCCCTGGGGACGGGACGCCTGGGTACCCCCCAGATTGACAATGTATGTATGTATGTATGTGTATATATACACATATATAGATACAAATAAATATATCTATATGTCTACATGTACACGACTGCATTGGCGCTTCGCGCCGTGCACCTTGGTCCTGCGAGTTTCGCACCATTTGGCTGTTCGCGCCGTCCTCTTTGGCCTTGGACTGCGGCCGGCTACTTTTCAGTTGTGTTTGGACCCGAATCTCGGGGCGGACACTCCCATGTGGCGGTGAGACGCCGGAGGCCCCGGAAGAACGAAAAACTGTCGGCAAACCTTTGCCCTCGAACTTCGAATTTGGATCCCCTGCCTTCCTCTCTGGATCCTTGACCATTGAACCTCGATCCTCAAACGCCGATCCACGATCTTCTTGGGAAGTGCACCGAATCCCAGGTTCGCAACGGATTTCCGGGAATTGTGTTGCGGGCGGACCCAGGACTCGGGTCAGCTTAGTGTACGTCGTGGGAGAAGGCCGTCTGGGCTTTCCTGGGGCTCTTGTGGTCCGCCTTGGAATCCTCTTGGGCCGTCCTGGGGCCTCCTTGGGTCAATTTGGGGAGCTTGGGCCCTCTAGGGGCCTTCTGAAGCCATCTTCGGCCCTCTTGGGGGCCTCCATTGGCCGTCTTGGGGGCCTCCCATGGCCCTCTTGAGTTTCTCTTGGGAGCCTTTTTGGGGCCTCTTGGGCCCCTTTTGGGCAGTCTTGGGGCTCTCTGGGCCAGTCTTGGGGCCCTCTTGGGCCGTCTTGAGGTTCTCTGGGGGGCCTCTTAGGCCGTCTTGGGGCGATATCGGGGGCTCGTCCAACCGCTTTGGACCCTGGTACGACCCAGAAAACGGACATGCTAAACATTCACGTTTTCCTAAGGGAATTGGGCAATTTTTGGTTCTTCGGGGCCCTCTTAACTGCCTCTTGGGGCGTTCTGGGGACCTCTTGGGCCGTCTTCAGACCCCTCTTGGAACGCTCTTGTGCTGCCTTGGGTCTCTCTGGCGCCTCTCCGATGACCCTTCTGATCGTCTTGAGTCTGCTCGCAAGGCCCAGCAAGGCGCCCTGGGTGGCCCTGAAGGGCCAGGGGACCTTTTCTAAGGGCGTCTTGGGGGCCCCCGGGACCCTCCGAAAGGGCGTCCGGGAGGTCCCTGGGGGGGGTCCGGTTTAGGGTGGGGGGTGGGGGTCTGGGTAATATAAATATAAGAATATATATACACACATGTATATATAAATATGTATATATACACATATATAGATATATACACATGAGATCTCTGGGGGCCCTGGAGTCTTTCTCCGTTTCTGAGCACCCGGGGGGCCCCGACGGGCCCCGCGACCTTCCAAAGACGACTCAGGATGAACATCTGGTCTTGGAAAAATCCCCGGGGGCCCAGGACCTTCTTCCTTCATTGGAAGCTGCAGCTTCGAAGGGGCGGGAAGGGCCTTTGAAAGCTGCCCCAGCTGCCGTCCCGACACTTTTTGTGTGCCGCCAGCCTCATCTTGTCTGCCATCCCGTCCTCCCTCATCTTCGCACACTCCAGCTCGCTCTCCAGCCGCAGCTTCTCCACCTTCATCTCCCGCAACTCCTCCCGCCACTTTTTTCTTCTGCTGTTACACGCTGTGTGGGTGGCGTGGAGCGGAAATCGTCCGCCCGCTGGGTGGAGGATGAGCGTGCGTGGAACAACGGATACGGTCGGACCGAGGTATCAGATCGAGCTCGGTTCGGGGAGGGTACCCTGATGTCCTTCGTGCCTGTTGGATGCTCTTGTGCATCCTGGGGGAGGGGGGAGGGTACCCTCGAACGTTCTTCAATTTGGCGCCTTTGTATGCGCGTTCTGGTAGGGCTGGGGCTCGGGGCTCACAATTCGGCCACGTCCGTCCGCGGAGTCGGCAGGCCCCTTCCGCTGCGTCCGTCCGCGGGGTCGGCAGTCGCCCGCGTAGGTGCCCCCCCACCCGAGAGGATGGGAAGGACTGGCGGCGCCCGCACGGGGGCGCGCCGCGAGGGGGCGGCCTTCGAAGAAGGCGGGGGGGGAGTCTTCTCACTAAGCAGGCACCCGGCTCCTTAGAAGCTGTCCCCTGGCTTCTGCGGCTGTCCACCCACGGGGAACAGCAGCCCTCCTCCCCCCCCCTCGGCTACACGCAAGAGTGACTCTAAGCAAGAGCGACCTTTGATGCGCGGCTTAATGGGGGACGTGGGGGGACCAAGCACAAGTGCACCAGATGCTACTATCGCATCGCGTTCGGCGATTGGGGGATCCCACTGGGACCGCACCAAAGGTCACTCCGGCGAAAGGTCGCTCTTACGTGTAGTCGACCCCCTCCTCCTCCACCTCCACCCTTCCTCCCCAGCCGCCTCCTCTTCATCCTCTTCTACTTCTTCTGTTTCCTTCGCCTCCTCCACTTCTCCATGCCCCTCCCCCCTGCCCTCCCTCCACCCTCCCCCTGGCCCGTGCCTCCCCCTCCCCCCCCTTCTCTTCCTCATCCGCTTCCTCCTCCTCCTGGTCGTCGTCCTCCTCCTCCTCCCTCATTCCCTTCCGACGACGACGACGACGTTGACGATGACGGCTCCGCCGACGACGACTCCACCGACCACCGACCGCCGACGCCCACGCCGACGCCGACGCCGACGCCGACGCCCTCGCCGACGCCGACACTGACGCCGACGCCGACGCCGACGACGCCGCCGACGTCGACGACGACGCCGACGCCGCCGCCGCTGCCGCCGCCGCCGACGACGACGACGAGGAGGACGACGACTCCGCCGACCGCCGGCCACCGACACCCACGCCGACGCCGACGCCGACGCCGACGTCGACGCTGACGCCAGACGACGACGACGACGACGACGACGACGACGACGACGACGACGACGAAGACGAAGACGACAACGACGACGAAGACGACGACGACGACGACGACGACGACGACGACGACGACGACGACGAGGACGAGGACGACGACGAGGACGACGACGACGACGACAACGACCGACGACCGACGACCAACGACCGACGACCGATGACCGAGGATCGGCGACCGTCGACGGCAACCTCCACTCTTGCGCTCGTGACCCTGCCTGCCCTGAGGGCTGCGGGGGCCCGCGCGCAGGCAAGGCGTGCCAGCCGGCATCCGCGACGAAGCGGCGGAGGCCGACGATTCTGTGATGAAGGCTCCTGCCACGCCGCGTCGGTGTCCGCGGACCGCTCCTCGAGCGCGGCCTTCTGGGCCTGCACCCGTTGCAGCTGCACCTCGCGGACGGCCCCGCCCCCGACCCCTTGCGGCCAGGAGTTCCTCCATCATCCTACCTCCCCTCCTCGCCCTCCTCCACCTTCTCCCCCGTCCCCTCCTCGCCTCTGCCTCGTCCCTCCTTCCTTCTCCTCCCTCCTCCTCCTTCCTGTCCTTCCTCCTCCTCCTCCTCCTCCTCCTCCTCCTCCTCCTCCACCGCCTCCACCTCCTCCTCCCTCCTCCCTCGTCCTCCAGCCGCCGCCCTGGATCGAGGTGTTTGGAACTGCTCCAGGAGCAGCGCACCTCGCGCGGGGCTGGCTGCCATGCGCGCCGGCCGCCTCGCCTCGCCCTGCCCAGGCGAGTGGAGGGCTAGCCGCGCGCGACGAGGCTTCTCCGGCCGGCGCTGCTGCAGCCAGCCGAAGCCGGACCTCCGTGCCCCTGCGCGGAGACTCGGCTACGCGGCCCGCGTCGGCCGCCGCCCGCACATGCAGGACGTCGCAGCGCTGGTCGCCGCACCGATTCGCCGTCCCGTTCTGCTTTCACCTGCTGTGCGGCAGCATGACGTGCCGCCACTGGACGACCATCAACGTGTGCTACTTCGTGACCATGATGCCGGTCCTGTACATGCAGATGGTGATGCTGCGGATGCCAAATTGGCCGAGGCCGCATGGTGCTGGCTGCCCGGAGCGCTGCCGCCCCCGGCACCCAGCGTGCCGATCTGGTGGCCCTCGCCCCTCCGCCGCCGCGGCTGACGACGCTGAGTGCCGCCGATCTGCCGTTGGTTGGGCCGCCTTCTCTTTGTGGAGCGCAGCCTGCCGCCGCCGCCAGCAGATGACGACGCTGAGGACGGCCCTGACGTTGCTGCCGACTCGCCTGATGAGTCCGACAGCACGGTCGACTCCACAGAATTCGTGTCTCCTCGGTCGCTCGGAGCTCGGATACCACATCGTGCGGGGCCGTCCTTGGAGGACCGTTCTGGGGGAATGACCTCGAAGCCGGGGGGGTGCCTCAACTGGCCCAGCGCCAGGGTGCAAACCCCGAAGCCTCCGTGGAGGAGGGTGACCTGCGGGCACCGAGCGCGGACGTCCAGATATCGATGACATGCCGATTGTGGACCTGGTTGCTGCGGCCGCTGGCGTGGCCCCTGGCGCCCCCTGCCCTGCTGTACCCAGGAGTGCACCCTGCGCCCCGCCGCGTTCCTCGGCGAGCGCTTCGCGCCCGCTGCCGCAACTACCAGTGCTGCCTCCACCACCTGCACATGATGCTCCCGGACTGCCGCCGCTCTGTTTGCTGCCGCCACCCGCACATGACGGTCGAGAGGATGAGCGCGTTCTGCTTCGTGCCGGACCGCCTGCGCGTCCCGATGGCGCTGCGTCTCCGGAGGCTCTGGAACGTGCTGCCTCGCCACCGGCGCTGGCGGAGGTGGTGGATGCCCCGCACTCGGCGCTGGCTGCGGCCCCGTTGCTGGTGGTGGCGTTGGCCAAAGTCTTGCGCGGCCGAGGGCCTGTTCCCGCGGCTCGCCTTCCCGACGAGTTCGCGGCCATGTGGCGGATTCGCCTTGACCCCCTCATGCAGGATGAGGACGAGACGGATGTTGCAGCTTTCCTAGGCAAGTAGACCTAGCTCAAGGTGCACAAGGATGACGACGGGACGTACATGGCGCAGTTGGCACATCCCGGTGAGCCAGCCCTGCCGCATGCAGCGGCCCAGGCCGACCCGCTGGGGGCTGCGGGCCCGCTGGACGCGCGGGAGCTTGCTGCTGCTGCTGCTGGAGCTCCGGAGCTTGCTGCTGCGGCGGCCAGTCGTGCTCGTGAGCCGCCGAGCCCGGAGCAGACGGCTGGCGCCCGGAGCAATGTAGTTTGCCGTGAGCGCATGATTCAGTTGCCCTCCAGCCGCCCGCCCGTTCAAAGATTCGGCTTGCAGTGGAAATGGGTCCGTGTGCAGCGAATCCCAATAGTTTCTACTCCTATTGTTCGCTGCGAGCCCATATCATCAGCTGCTCGCATTGCTGCCATAGTGACTGATGATCTATTTGCTCGGCACCTACGTGGGTGGGTGCAGCCGGGGCCTCTGCCCACTCCCCCGCCACCCACGCGCACCCTGGCCGATCCTGATGCGTTTCTGGCTGCGAATATCGCGGCCTCCCGAGAATGGCAAGACTGGTCTGTCCGGAGCCCCCTCCCTAGGAGAAGGACGCTCGACTGATCAGCAGATGGCCCTGCCACGTTTCTCCCCCTCGGCATAGCGCGATGACAATCGCGTCGGTGCCTCGCGTGGGTGCGAAGATAACTACCCTTCTTCCCCCACTGTACTGCCTAGGAGATGTGGTCCTAGCCTTTCCTCCTTCCTAGCTTTGCAGGATGTATGTGTCCCATACGTCGTGTTGCCCACTCCTTCCCCATCCTGATCAGCGAGTGTCTCGCGTGGTCGACGTGCTGTGCTGTCACATACGTCCATGATAAATGGGCGGAGGGTTTGGAGGGTGGCGTTCAGGTTCGGTGTGGGAATGGTGTTGGAATTCCTGGATACGTAGTCGTCACGCTTTGGCTACTACGTGCAGAAGATGGCGGCTGCCAGTCAGATGTGTTCCAGCCTTGACCCCGCTCGTTTTCTGCTGCTCCGAGATTGGAGGTTTAGGATCTGTGTCCCAGTCTCACTCTCTCTTCTCGGTTTCATCATCTACCATCATGCAGCCACTTCCCTCCCTTCCTTCCTCCCCTCCCCCTCCCGAGTGGCCAAGAGCCACGACGCGGTCGTCGTTTCTTTGTTCGACCCGATGCCGGCCACTTGATTTGAGAGAGGAGTGATTGGGGGGGGACGCTGACGTTGGTGGGGACGAGGGTTGCACTGCGGCGTTGGTGCAGGCACGGGCCGCAGGTCGAGCGTGCGAATATCGTGCACTCCCGCAGGCCCCTGCCTTGCGCCAGCCCACTAAGCTGGCTTTCGGTCCTTCGCAGGCCATCTCGCCTGCTCCCCTCTTTGATCTGCCTCCTCTTGCCTCCTCCCTCCTCCTGCGGCGTTGTGATGCGCCCTGAGCGCCTTCAGACGATGAGGCGGGGGGGGTGGTAGGACAGGACGGGGGCAGGGAGATTCACCAAACCTTGGCGCCCGTGCTGCATATACGCACTGTTGCAGCAGCTCGTGAGTGCCGCGCTAAGCTGACCGTCTCCTCGGCGAATCAGAGCGCAATCCCAGACTCCTCGTCCTCCCTCCTCCCTCGTCCTCCCTTCTCCTCCTCCTCGTGCTCATGCTCCAGTTCTTTATCATTCGCCTCATCCTCATTCTTCCTCCTGGCTCCTCCCCCTTCTCCTCCTCCTCCTCCTCCTTCTCCTGCTCCTCCTCCTCCTCCTCCTCCTCCTCCTCCTCCTCCAGGGGACAGAAAGGGGAAAAGAGGCCCCTCATCCTTCCCGTCTGTCCTATCCTCATCCACATTAGTCGCCTCCCTCCTCCTGCTCCTTCTCCTTCTCCTCCTCCTCCTCCTCCTCCTCGTCGTCCTCCTCCTCCTCCTCCGCCTCCTGGCGGGCGGCCGCACCCGCGTCAAGCTTTGCCCTCGTCGAGGGTCGAGGGGGGACAACCTTTTCGGGCGCGTTTCGGGCCGTCGTCCGGCCTCCAGGGGCCTCGCCCTCCCCCCGAGGTTAGGACCTGGGCGGGAGCAGAGCTTCCCCCCCTCAGCCCTATTTTTTGTGTTTTCTTTTTTCCCCCCCCCCCGGCCCCAAATGAGGGGCAGCGATCGGGAGGAACTGGCACAGCGTGGGACACATCGACCTGGAATCGGCTATACATCACCGATAGATCGGCGACAGGCCCCCGACAGTGGGTTCGCACGTTCATGGGCAGGTCGGGGCTGTCGGGCCCCTGTCAGCGATCACAATGGGCGATTGGGGGTCGATGCATCCCCCCTATCGTTGCCCCTGACTGCCCTGCCCGTCATGGCGGGAACTTTTGCTCAGCGTGTCGCGGCGGCAGCCCCGGCGACAGGCCATGTCCTGCGAAGTGATGGCGTGCCGCTCCACTCCGCGGGGTGGGAGGCCGGGAGAGGCTCGGGACGTGGACTCTCGGGGACTTGGGGTGCGGGTAGCGCGTCGCGCCGAAGCGTGGTGGGCCAGAACTTGCGGCGCGACACAGTGAGCAGCGCTCCCGACCGCACACCCGCCAGGCCTGAGCTGGATAGGATCGCGAAGTCGGCTTGGATCCCGGATCGCCAACGGCTCGTCCCAAACCGGGTCGAAATCGGATCGCCGCGCCCAGCTTCGGCTGGCCGGCCCGAGCCGATGCCGGTGAGCCGAACCGAATCGAATCGGATCGGACTCGCGGCCCCAGCTGGCGAATCGCATCGCATCGAAGGCGGCCCCGCCGCTCCCTCCTGTCGCCGAGGGCTTCGCGGGTTTTGCTGTCCCTGGAGCTCACGCCGAAGCTTCCGCGATCTCTGGGTTTGCCTCGATGTATCTGGATGTGCATCAGCTTGCGCAGACTCGCCTTGATCTATCCTAGCTTGAACCCCACATTTCGATTGTAGAAGAGTCGTCAAGTTCGCCCTTCTGGATCCTACTCCGTGAGGGAGGGGGGGATGAATATGACGGTGATGAAGGAGGAGGAGGTGGAGGAGAAGGGAGAAGGAGGAGCAGGACGAGGCAGGTGGCCAAGGTGTACGATGATAAAGACAGACGAGAAGCATGAGGGGCCTCTTTTCCACCCTCTTCCCCCTGGAGGAGGAGGAGTGAGGAGGAAGAGTGAGGACGAGGGGCATGACAAAGAGCAGGATCATGAGCACGAGGAGGAGGAGGAGGAGGAGGAGGAGAGGAGGAGGAGGAGCCTGTTCTCCTCCCTCTTCTTTCTTCTCATTCTTCCTACCCCTCCTCCTGCTCCTCTCCTCCTCCTCCTCCTCCTCCTTCTCCTCCTCATCATCCATTCCTTGTCCTTGTCAAAATCTCCCTGTCGCACCCGGAGGCCAATTTTTAGGGCGGGCTGGGCGTTTCGCCTGAGACTTCCTCACCATTTATGACCCTGAATCCCAAACATTGGCAACAGTTGAAAAGATGGAGGGCGGGCCGATTTCAAAATGTGGCTCTCGCCCTAGCGCCGCGCACATTCGTGTTTAAACTGTGCAAGAGTTTCACGGATTGAGGGCGGCCCGTTTTCAAAAGGTGGCTCTCGCCTTAGCGCCGCGCACATGTGTTTAAACATTTGCAAGAGCTTCACGAATTGAGGGAGGCTCCTTTTCAAAGTCTGGCTCTCGCCTTAGCGCCGCGCACAATCGTCTTTTCCCAACCATCCTGTGGTGTTGGGTCCTCGATTTGAAGGGACAGCGCCCCGCGTTCTGCTCCTCCTTCCTCCTCCCGCTCCCTCTTCCTCCTCTCATTATCATCATCATCACCACCAGCATCATCATCAACAGCATCATCGTCATCCTCATCAGCATCAGCATCCGCATCATCATCATCGTCACCATCATCATCATCATCATCATCATCATCATCATCATCATCATCATCATCATCATCATCATCATCATCATCATCATCATCATCTTCATCATCACCATCATCATCATCAGCACCATCGTCATCGTCATCATCATCATCAGCATCATCATCTTCATCATCATCATCAGCAGCATCATCATTATCAACGTCATTATCATCGCCATCGTCATCATCATCAGCTCCACCGAAGGCTCCAGTGGCAAAGTTCGCATGACGGCCCAGCCCCATTTCGGCGCACACCTTACACGCTTCGTGGCCCCATAGGGAGCTCCACCAAAGACCCCAGTGGCAAAGTTCGCATGGCGGCCCCGCCCAATTTCGGCGCACCCCTCGCATGTTTCGTGGCTCCATGGGGAACTCCACCGAAGGCCCCAGTGGCAAAGTTCGCATGGCGGCCCCGCCCCATTTCGGCGCACCCCTCACACGTTTCGTGGCCCCATAGGGAGGTCCACCGAAGGCCCCGGTGGCAAAGTTCGCATGACGGCTCTGTCCCATTTCGGCGCACCCCTCACACGTTTCGTGGCCCCATGGGGAGCTCCACCAAAGGTCCAGGTGGCAAAGTTCGCATCTCGCCTTAGCGCCGCGCACATTCGTCTGGAATAGTTGCGAGAGCTTCGCGGATTGAGGGTGGGTCGTCTCCAACATGTGACTGTCGCCTTAGCGCCGTGCACATTCGTCCTGCAAAAAACAAAGGTTTTGCGGCTGGAGGGCGCGTGGTTTTTAGTATGTGGCTCTCGCCTTAGCGCCGCGCACAGTCGTCTTAACATTTGCAGAGTTTCACGGAGTGAGGGTGGGTCGCTTTCAAAAAGTGGCTCTCGCCTTAGCGCAACGCACATTGTCTGTAACCATGTTGCTGAATTTTCACGGTTTTCCATTGTCAGCGTACCAGAAATGGTGTTTTTGGAAGAATTCAGGATTGTCAGGGCGCAAGAGTTAAATTGATTCGCGGCGCTGAAGCCCCAGGAGTGATGTTCTGTCACGATCCAGGATCGTCAAGACGTAACAGTCGCGTTGATTCGTGGCGCTGGATTCCCGAGAATGGCGGTTTGGCACGCTTTAGGGTCTTCAAACGGTTGTCTCCTAACGGGGCACTTCCTCAGTGAAATTGAATCCTGGTATGGGGCCTGTGAAGGGGGAATTTGGAGGGAGGGTTTATTTTGACATCGTTGATGAGTCTTGGGTTTGCACTGGTCTGCACCTTTTTCCGTCGGCTCCAGAAATTAGTTGATCAGGCCAACAGAATCCAACATAATCCTCCTTCTCCTACCTCCTCCTCTTCCGCGTCCTCCTCCTCCTCCTCCTCCTCTCCTCCTCCATTCTTTCCCTAATGAATAACTCCTCCCTGTCGCATCCCGAGGTCGGTCGAACGGGCGGGCCGGGCGTTTCGCCTCAGACTCCCTCACGCTGTGTGGCACTTTGCAAGAATTTCATGGATGGACGGCGGATGGTTTTCAAAATATGGCTCTCGTCTTAGCGCCGCGCGCATCCGATTTAAAACATGCGACGGTTCCACGGATTGATGGGCAAGTCTTTTTTCAAAGTGTGGCTCGCGCCATAGCGTCGCGCACATCCGTCTTAAAACATTGCAGCAGTTTCACGGAAGGAGGGCATATAGTTTTCAACTTGTGGCTCTCGCCTTAGCGCCGCGCGCATCCGCCTTAATAATTTGCAAGACTTTCGCGGATGAATGCCGGGTCATTTTCAAAATGTGGCTCTCGCCATACCACCGCGCACATGTGCCTCAAGAGTTTGTAACAGCTTCAAGGATTCTCACTGTCAACATCCCATGAATGGTGTTTTGGCAGGATGTCGGATTGTCAGGGCGCAACAATTACGCTGGTTCGTGGTGTTGAAATCTCAGCAATAGTTTTCTGGCACGACTCAGGATCGCCAGGGCGCAACAGTCACGTTGATTCGTGGCGTTGGGAGTCTCGAAAACGGTGGTTTGGCACACTTCAAGATTTTGAAATAGTTGTTTTCCAACAGGGCACTTCCTTCAGTGAAGATGAATCCTGGTAGGGGCCTGTGAGGAGGGAACTTGGGGGGAGGGTCGGTTGCAATATTGTTAATGAGTCTGGGGTTTACACTGGCCCTCCTCCTCCTCCTCCCTCCCTCCCTCCCTCCCTCCCTTCCTCTTCCCCCTTCATCTCCCCCCTGCTCCTTTGCTTTACTTTCACCTTGTCCGCGTGAGGCGTGCCCTCCCCCGGATGGCCCGCTAAGCCGCGCAACGCGCAACGCCAACTTCTGAACGTAACGGGTGGAGACGCCTGCGCGTTTCCCCCGCCCTCCCCCCCCCTAGAGGCCTCGCAGAACGGGGTCCGAGTAGATGTGGGTCCGAATGTTGGCGGCGCGCAGAGGGGGGTAGAGGGAGGGGGGAAGACTTCTTAGAAGGAGGCTGCTTCTTAGAAGGCGCGGGCCTTACATGTACAGGCAAAGTCCACGCCTTCTAAGAAGCAGGGGTGCTTCAAAGAAGCCTTCCCCCTCCCCCTACCCGCCTCTGCGCGTGGCCGAGAATTGATGGGGTCCGAGTAGATGGGGCACTCGGGCCTCATCTGGGAGTCCTAGATCTCCCCCCGCCCCCGCCCTCCCCCCGTGGCCGAGCGCCTGCTGGCCAGGAGGCCGCCTCCCCCTCCCCTGCCTACTCTCCCACTCTGTTCCTCCCCTCCCCAGCGTCATCCTCCTCCTCGTCGTCGTCGTCGTCATCGTCGTCGTCGTCGTCGTCGTCGTCATCGTCTTCCTCCTCATTCTCCTCCTCCTCCTCCTCCTCCTCCTCCTCCTCCTCCTCCTCCTCCACTTCCCTCCCCTTCCCTCCCCTCCCCTCCCCTCCCCTCCCCTCCCCTCCCCTTCCCTTCCCTTCCTTTCCCTCCCCTCCTCCTCACCGCCGCAGCCGCGCCTGCAGGTCGTCGTTCTGGGCCCTCGCGTCGCTCAACTCCGCCGCGGCGCCCGCGGCGCGCTGGGCCTGGCCCGCCGGCCGGCGTCGGCCCCCTCGGAGGGTGCTCTCAGCTCGAGGGGAGGCTGCGCCGGGTGAGCTCCGGCACATGCCGCCGCGGACGTCAGCGAGCACGTCGGCGCTCGACGGTCCATTCCGTGTGTGTGTGTGTGTGTGTGCATGCTGTGTGTGTTGTTGCCGTGGTGCTGCTTCTGTTGCTGCTTGCCGTTTCCCACCTGGCGCTCATTTCCCAACCATCCTGTGGTGTTGGGTCCTCGTTTTGAAGAGACAGCGCCCCGCGTCCCTCCTCCGTCCCTCCTCCCTTCCTCCCCTCCTCCGCCGTTCGCATGCGGTTCCCTCGTCCAGTACAGCGTTTCGTGGTCCCAGAGGGAGCTCCACCGAAGGTCCTAGTGGCGCACTCCGCCTGCGGTCCCCCCACCCGGTACAGGATTTCGTGGCCCCAGAGGGAGCTCCACCAGCGGTCCCAGTGGCGCAGTCCGCATGCGATTCCCACACACCCAGTACAGCGCTTCGTGGCCCCAGAGGGAGCTCCACCAAAGGTCCCAGTGGCGCAGTCCGCATGTGGTTCCCCCACCCAGTACAGCTCTTCGTGGCCCCAGAATGGGCTCCACCGAAGGTCCCAGTGCCGCAGTTCGCATGCGGTTCCCCCACCCAGTACAGCGTTCCGTGGCCCCATCGGGAGCTCCACCAGCGGTCCCAGTGGCGCAGTCCGCATGTGATTCCCCCACCCAGTACAGCGCTTCATGGCCCCATAGGGAGCTCCACCAAAGGTCCCAGTGGCGCAGTTCGCATGCGGTTCCTCCACCAAGTACAGCATTTCGTGGCCCCAGAGGGAGCTCCACCGAAGGTCCCAGTGGCGCAGTCCGCATGCGGTTCCTCCACCAAGTACAGCGCCTCGTGGCCCCATAGGAAGCTCCACCAGGGGTCCCAGTGGCGGAACTCGCATGCGGTTCCCCAACTTGTACAACGTTTCGTGTCCCCATAGGGAGCTCCACCGAAGGTCCCAGTGGCGGGACTCGCCTGCGGTTCCTGCGCCCAGTGCAGCGTTTCTTGGCCCCATAGGGAGCTCAATCGGAGGTCCCAGTGGCGGAACTCGCCTGCGGTTCCTTCGCCCAGTGCAGCGTGTCTTGGCCCCATAGGGAGCTCAATCGGAGTTCCCAGTGGCGGAATTCGCATGCGGTTCCTTCGCCCAGTGCAGCGTTTCGTGGCCCCATAGGGAGCTCCACCGAAGACGATACCCACAACTTCGGCACTCACAACTGCATACGGTTGGGTTCTTCGCCATGCCACTTTTTTTTGTTGGGGGGGGGGCCACATATGACTGCGTCCATTCTGTAGTGTTGCCAACTTGTGGCGGTCACACACGCACACACCGGTGTTGGCGGGCATGTTGTGTGACCCCTCTCGGGAGCCCTCGGGGGGAGCTCTCAGGAGCCCAACGGGGCTGGTGTGACCCCGTGTTGTCCCCATGGTCGCAACGGGGCTGTGCGACCCCGTGCTGGCCATGGCCGCCGCTCCAATACAGAGCTCCTGTAACGCGAGCGAAGTGGATGGCGGCGAATCTGCACTTGCACCGGACCCAGGACTTGTGTGTGCGCCTGTCTGGCTGGGCCAGGTGGGCGTATACGCCGATCCTGGGCTCAGGACTGGTCCAGGCAGGATCGGTGCAGGTGTATAAGTTGGCGTTCTCCTCCTATTCCTCCTTCTCCTCCTCCTCCTCCTCCTTCTCCTCCCCCTCCTCCTCCTCCTCCTCCCCCTCCTCCTCCTCCTCCTCCTGCTCCTTCTCCTCCTCCTTCTCTCTCTCCTCCTCCTCCTCCCCCCTCCTCCTCCTCCTCCCTCCTCCTCCTCCTCCTCCTCCTCCTCCTCCTCCTCCTCCTCCTCCATCAACTCCTCCTCCTCCTCCTCCTCCTCCTCCTCCCCCTTTCCTCCTCCCCCTCTTCCCCTCCTCCTCCTCATCCTCCTCCTCCTCCTCCTCCTCCTTCTCCCTCTCCTCTCCTTCTCCCTCTCCTCCCCTCCTCCTCCTCCATGCTGCTGCTGCTGCTCCCTCCTCCTCCTCCTCCTCCTCCTCCTCCTCCTCCTCCTCCTCCTCCTCCTCCTCCCCCTCCTCCAAAGGCTTCGTCCTGGGCGGCCCCCCCCCCCCCCCCCCCCGGACCTGCGCCTTCGCGCTCTCGAGCTCCGCCCTCTGGAGGTCTAGCTTGCTGGTCGCCTCGGATCGGGCGCGGGAGGTCCACGCCGTACAGGGTGCTTCTGCTTTTTCTCCTTCTCCATCATCATCTTCTTCTTCTTCCTCCCTCCAATTGTTCTCCCTGTTCCTCCTCCTCCTGCTCCTCCTCTTCCCATCGCCCCTCTCTTCCTCTTCCTCTTTACCGTCCTCATCCTACTTCTCTCCCTCCCATCGTTCTCGTCGTCATCCTCCTCCTTCACTCCCTCCCTTCCGCCCTCCTCCTCCTCCTCCTCCTCCTCCTCCTCCTCTCTCCCTCTCTCCCCCTCTCTCCCTCTTCCTCCACGCTCTCCCTGAGAGATGGGGAAGCACATCGGGGAAGAGAGGGGCGTCACGATTCAGATTTCTCGGCCCCGCCTCGAGCTTCTCCTTGCGCATGGCCGAGAGCTCCTCGCGAAGGGTCCCTGTCTCCAACACCACGGCCTTTCGGGAGGATGGATTCCAAATGCGGAGGCTCCCAGCGTGCTTGCTTATCCGCCTCGACCTTGATCGAGAAAGTGGAGGGGGAGGAGGAAGAGTGGTGGTGGGGGCGGGAAGAATGAATGCCGAGGAGGAAGAGGAGGATGAGGAGGCGGAGGAGGAGGAGGGGTATCCATAGTAGGACGAGGAACCACAAAATTTCCTGGACGCGAATAACAAACATAGCGGGCCGTTGCCCATCTACCCAAAAAGGGCCTCTCGTCGGCCGGGCAGTATGCGGAATGAGAGGCTGGGTTGGAGAAGAAAGGGACGAGACGGGAGGACACCGAGAAGCGGACGTACTTTCTGGACGCCCCTGCCGACTTACGAGCCTCTGGAGGAAGTATGTCGAATGTGTGATGTATGCAGTGGCGTGGTTCCTATAAACACCTCCGAACGCAAATACACTGTATTTGACAGGCATGTGCAACGGCGTTTTCTTACGCGCTTCATATTATTGTTCCGACGCAACAGCAGCTGCGAACCCAATGCTTCGATGCCGGATGTTCGCATTTTACGAGGCAGCACGGGTGTGTAATTGATCGTGTATGGCAGTGTGTACTCGATGTGCACGTACACACACGCACATGTATACGTATACGTGGGATACAGGCGGCGTGCCGCAACATGAGGACAATCCCAAATATAGTCGGTATGCGTGCACGCGCGTTTACACGACTACACGTCCAAACAGGGATGTGGGAGCGGGGCCTAGGCTGATTCATCATCGCCCAGCGGATGGCACTGCCGAGGCAAGGCAGGGGCGGTGAGAGGTCACCAGTTGGAGCAACTGCGCCACTGTGGCCTCTGCGTGAACTCAATGGACCCACTGGTCCTGACTCGACGGGAGTCCTGCCCACCCGACGCCCCTGTACGGCACCACGGTCCGCCGCGAGGGGCGAAGGCGCGGGAAGGTGACAGGCGGACGCGCAGGAGAGGACGAGGAGGGGGGGATGGGGGCAGGGCAGACAGGGGGGCAAGTGGGAGGGGAAAGGAGGTGGAGGAGGGTAAGGGTGATAGGGGCGGCTGGACAGGCACTCGTCAGCGTCGTCGTCGCCGTCTCCTCCTCCTGCCCTCCTCCCTTTTCCCTCTTATCTTCACTGCCACTCCTCCTCTTCACTGCTCCCTCCTCCTCACTGCCCCTGCGTCATCCTCTCTCTTCCCTCGTCCTCCCTTCTCCCCCGCCTCCCTCATATCTCCCATCCCCCTCTCCTTGCTGGCTCCTCCCTCCTCGTTCTACTCCTCCGCCTCCTCCTCCTACTCTTCCACCTCCCCTCCCTCTTCCTCCTCCTCCCTGCCTGATCCCTCCTTCTCCTCCCCTCCCTCCCTGCTGCTGCTGCTGCTCCTCCTCCTCCTCATCCGCGTGGCTGTCGTCGTCAACATCCTCCTCTTCCTCCTCCTCCTCCTCCTCCTCCTCCTCCTCCTCCCCTCTCCGTCTCTCGGAACCCGTGGGCCACTTTAGACACCCATCACGCCACCAAGAACTGTCCCAACATCTTTCTCCTCCTCCTCCTCCTCCTCCTCCATCTTCTCCTCCTCACCAATGTGCTCGCACTCCTCCTCGTCCTCCTCCCCCCTCCCTCGATACCCTGGGTTACCCCCCAGGAGATCATTAAGCCTCAGAGAGCCGCCATAAACCCTGCCCCGCCTTCTTGTCGTCGTCGTCGTTGTCGTCGTCCTCCTCCTCCTTCTCTTCCTCCTCCCCTCCTCCTTCCTCCTCTTCTCCTCCTCCTCCTCCTCCTTCTTCTCCTCCTCCTCCTCCTCCCCCTCCTCCTACTCCTCCTCCTCTCTCTCCTCCCTCCTCCTCCTCCTCTCATGCTCCTCCTCCCCTCTCCTCCTCCTCCTCCTCCTCCTCCTCCCACCCCATCTCCATCCCATCTCCTCCTCATTCTCCCTCCTTTTCCCTATCCTCCGCCTGCTGCTCCTCCTCCTCCTCCTGCTGCTCTGCCTCCTCCTCCCTCCCCGTCCTCCTCCGCCTCTGCCCTCCCTACCATCTCCTCCTCATTCTCTCTATCCTCGTCGCTGTCGAGGATGGGCACTGCCGCAACAAGAACGATGGCGGCAGCGGCGACGAAGGCGTCAGACCCAACTCCGCTCAGCATCGGTCCCTGGACCCCTTCCTGGGGTGCATCCTACACCCCGTGCGAAATCTAAGTGCGCATCCCCTCGGGGGGCGGCAAGGGAGGGGTGACGCGCTTCCCAACCTGGCAAAAAATTGGAAAGGCATGTGGCTGGATTTGCACGTGGACCATCTGGAAGCCACCTGCCGGACACGCACGCGGAAACCCCGCCTGC